AAAAAAACAAAAACAAAAAACATTTGGATCAATTGATCCAAAGGCGCCGCTGAGCACGCCCCGCTCGATCACCTCCGAGTGATAGAGCCGAGACCTCTCGGACTGCACCTTGAGCCTCCAGCGCATCTCTGCACTCAGTTCTGGTGGAAACCGCAGGAGTCCATGGGGCACGTATGGCTCGTTGCCTTCTCCTTTGGCCAAAGGGTTCCCAATTCAGCAAAGAACTTGCTCATGCTAAAACTGAGCAACCCCAACTCATACCAGCCACAAACCCTAAGAGCTGGAAACGGCGCAAAGCACATTATTGCAGGCTGCGGCCTCTCCCCTTTCTGATGCATGTCTGATTTTCAGGGTGCCGGCATCAGTTTAAAAAAGCGCCTATGATTGTCCCGATGCATCCGCCCCATTTGTCCCATCGCCCCATCCAAAATCTGACAAGGGCCCAGCTTCGCCGGGTAACGGCGGGCCAACTGCCTCTGGTCTGAACCAGAGGTAGTCGGGCCAAGCAATGCCAGCGACCTGTGCCAAGCAACTTCGGGCACATCTCAGGTGGGCAGAGACAGCGGGCAGCAAACAACTAGCCGTTTTCCAAGAGGAAGACATTCCCATTCACAGTGTTCCCTGCCCAAAAGACCCCTTCACCCACCAGCAGTTTGCACAGACCAGCCCACTTCCGCTGAAAGAATAGCAAACCCTGGACACAACACCCAAATTGGAGAAAGCTTCAATACGAAAAACCGCAAGGCGAAGCTCCCGAGCCCAAATTGGAAGCAACCGCTGAATGGGAGGCCGCGCCCTGAGCGCCAGAAACGGCAAAAACAAGTGAGGCTATCTCGAGAAAAACACAAGAAGAAAACAACAAAAACATGTCAGCAACCGTGGCTGTTCACAAACCATGTGCTTGGACCCTCACTTGCTTGTGGTTGCTTCAGTTGGAGTTCCTGGGGGCTTTTGATCACAGTGCCAACCCCGCTCATTCACCACACGCTACGAGTTTACGTTTCTACGGGTTCGACGAAGTCGGCTTTCTTTGACCTACCTTTCGTTCAGGAGTACGACCAGTTTCGTGTACCCTTGTCTGGTGCCCCAGCTTCTCCGAGCCCTCCCCACTAAGCAGCCAGCATAGTTTGACAACGTCGACTCGTAGCCCGCGTGGAAGGGCTCAGCGACGCCTGCGTGGCATCTCTGCTTCTCAAGATGTAGCAACATTGTCACGCCTGCCCTCAGGATACGATTCCTAGGCGATCCGCATCTTGAAGGTTTTCAGCCGAGGCTAACTACGTGCTACCCTCTGGTTGCATCTGACTTCCACCGGGCTCAGTTCAGCCCTCAGCTTTGGCCTGTGGCAGCTGCCCTCTACATCCATCTGTGTTGCATAGGCCCATGCAGTCAACGAGAACATTGAGCCTCTAAGGCGCTGCTTTTTGGCAAGGCTTCTGCCTTCTGTCAGATCGTTATTGGGACATCCCAGCCGTGTGCCTCCACAAACGCCACGAGGAAAACGAGCTCCAGTGCCCCGGTGCCCAAGTCCCCAAGTCCCCAAGTCCCCAAGTCCCCAGTCGCGCGCTGGGCGCCTAGGCGTGCGCCCAGCAGCACGCGGCTGCAGAGCGCCGCCCGCCAGAGGTCCCCCTCCGGGGCATCGAAGGCGACCGCGCCGCCTTTGAGGCGCCCGTTCTTCAGGCCCAGGCCCTCAGCTGAGGGCTGACGGTTCGAGGCGGGGGGGGGGGAGCTCGAAGCACTTCCAAGTCATCTGGCTTGGATTGCCAAAGAATCGAGCTTTTTGCTTTTTCTTCTCTGACCATCTTTGATAGAGTGCCATTCCCCCGATTTTCCCCAGGAGCACTTGAGAATCAAGAAGGGGCGGTGGGGCGCAAACAAGAACGGCAAAGCGGCCAGTGGCACATTGAGGCGGCCGGGCAGATGGCAAAACAGTGGGTGTGGGTCAAAATCAAACCACCAGGGGACCGCAGGTTTTAGTCATTTTGGGCACCTATTCTTGACCCACAGCCAAATGGAACCCTCGAAACGCCTTGGAGGGACGCGGCCCTGCCTCCAACTCCCGCAGCAGCGTTGGCTCCAGACCTTGGCCAGAACCCAAAGCGCAGACATCTCAAAGGCCAAGCCCTGAAGGCGACTTGTTGCAAGCTCGGGATGCCAAGGGGCAAAGGAGTCACCAAGTGGGGAGCTCGGTGTTTATAGGAAGGGGGGAGATTTGCAGAGCAATCAGCCGGCATTCACTCCGGAGTCACTCAGTCTCAGTCTTTTTCCAGTCAGCCTCTGGTTGCAAAATCAGTTTGAGACCCCGGTGACACTCACCACCAAAAACAAGCATGCCATAGCCTACCAAAGCATAACCCCTGGGCCATGCGAATCCAAACTCGTTAGGTCTAGCTCCAGCTCAGCGTTTCACTTGCGCTGGGGCTGCCAGTACGTCTCCGGGATCCCAGGCCCGGTGCCGTGTCAAAGAAGAGGCGCCTCCGAGCCAACTGCTTGGCTCATGAAGCGCTCATGATTTTGGCCCAGTCGCGCGCTCCAAGATACAAGGCGACGAATCACGATAGACGCCTGTGGCCTGCGTTGCTTTACAGCGGCCACTAAGCCACGGGTCACCCGGCCTGGGCTGCACCACTCGCTCCAGTGCTGCCTCGACTGGGCGGCTGCGCTGCAGGGCGGCGGCCGAGCGCAGCGACAGCCGTGCAGGGGCGGACATCGGCCCATGTGGCAGGTCACACAGAGAGCGAAGCGTCCGCAGCAAAAATTATGGGGCGGGGACGCGTTGAGGGCAACTAGCTGTTCTTGGTCTTCCGGCTTGGAGGCGCGTGTTGTCCCCTCTGCCAGGGAAGGGACACGCTCAGGGCGCTAGGGATTAAACAACTGGTGGTTGCGTTCTCTCTCTCTCTCTCTCTCGTCTTTCTTTCCTTCTTTCCTTCTTTCCTTCCTGCCTTCTTTCTTTCTTTCTTTTCTTTCTTTCGTTCTTTCTGTCTTTCTTCATTCCTTCCTTCCTTCCTTCCTTCCTTCCTTCCTTCCTTCCTTCCTTCTTTCCTTCCTTCCTTCCTTCCTTCCGTCTTTCTTTATTTCTGTCTTCCTTCCTTTCTTTCTTTCTTCCTTCCTTCCTTCTTTTCTTTCTTTATTTCTTTATTTTTCTTTTATGTTCTTTCTTTTTTTTGTGTTCTTCTATTTTGTTTTCCTGTCTGTCTTTTTTTTCTTTCTTTCTTTATGTCTTGTCTTTATTTGTTTCTTTTTCTTTTCTGTTTTGTTAATTTTATGTTCCGTTCTTTATTTCTTTATGTCTTTTCTTTCTTTCTTTCTTTCTTTCGTTCTTTCTTTCTTTCTTTTATCTTCTTTTCTTTCTTTTCTTTTCTGTTCTTTTCTTGCTTTCTTTCTTTCTTACTTACTTTCTTTCTTTCTTGCTCTCGCTCTCTCTGTCTCTCTCTCTCTCTCTCTTTCGCTGCTCTCTTGCTCGCTCCATTGCCATTTGTGTTCTATGCCAGTGCTTAGGAGTGCCGCGGGTCCCCTAAAATAGATCAAGAATGCCGTTTCTGGCCCCAGAAGTACAAGGCAGAAGAATTCTGTAAACATGTCCTTGGCTCCATGCCATGCCTGTGCTGTCAAAGAGGGCATTCGTCCTCTTGAGCCTCCGGATTCCCAGTCGTTTAGATTGGCCATTGCCGGTGACCCTGCCAACGGCAGGCCTTAGCGGTTGCTTCTCAAGAACCTCGGGTGCAAGCACTCTGGTTTGAGTAGTCGGTCTTGCAGCGGAACTTAAATCAGGCATCCTTAGCCCACCCCCCCCACGAAACCCCGAGATGCACGAGCCATTCACACCAAGTTGGCGGTCCGTTAACGAGACGCAGCTCGGAACCTTGCCAGCTGCACGGAGCCCGAGGGTTGCTCCTAAGACCCTTTCTGGTTGGCACATGGAAGTCCCAAGGAGCCTTTGGCTTTGGTCGACCTGGATCCAACCCTGCTTTCCTTGCTTTGCAAGGCTGGGCTCAACGTGGGGTCGCACACACAGCTGCGAACACTCCTGGCTCGCAGCCTTGAGGGACATCGTGGAAGTAGAAGATGCCCACATCCACCTGGCGAGTCAAACTGGGTCCTTGGGCCAGTTGACAGGCCGGAATCTTAATGACTTTCGGCTTGCGGCACCCTTCTGGGACCCAAAAGATACAAATGTGGGAACAAACGGCACTTTGGACAGGCTAAACTCTGCACAGCGCAAGCTTCTCAAGCCCATGTGCTCAACTTGGAATTTTATTATATGGCCGGGATTTCCGTTCGGGTGCCTTGGGTCCTCCCTCAGGTCTCCCGGCCGGCGGTGGTTGGTTAAGGGTTCTCTCAAGCGGCTGCAACAGAACGCAACCGAAGGACCAACCGAAAGCCAAAAAAAGAAAGCCTTGAAGTCCGCAAGGGTCGAAGGCTCGTAGCCCCAGCACAGCTTGTAGGCCCCAGGCCTGCCGGCGTGGGATTTGCCCAGCCGCGCGGTGGCGGAGGAGCCATCCGTGGCCAGCTGGCCTCAGCTAGGGATGGTCTAACCGAACCACCCTGACCCAACAGGACCCAAACAGAACCCAACCAACCGCCAACTCAACCAGCCAACCGGACTAACCAAACACCATTAACATCACCCGCACCAAAGCAAGCTCGCGGAGAACAAAAAAAGCTAGTTGGTCCCAGCCTGAAATCCCCAGTTTAGCAATTTTCAACAGCCTGGTAGGGAAAGAAGGCAAAGAAGTACTTCTACACAAGAAAACAAGGATTCCTGCAATCAAAACCGCCTCGGGTCGGAAACGCGGCAAAGGACGCGCATTTACCCATGAGCAGAGTGGCTAAAGGGTGCCGGGTTCAGCAGCCCCGCAAAGGCGGACACTACAGTGGCGTCTCCGCAAGAGCTGGCCATATCCAGGATCACCACCCGGTTGGTGAGCGCCAACATGGACCCATACAGGATGAAGCTGCAAATGGAGCCCATGGTGCAGTCCACCCGGTAGGTCCCGAACGGCCCGTTCATGCTGAAGGTGCCCAGCTCCACCACGTAGTTGGCGCCACCCTGACAATATGGGTCCAAATGGGTCCAAGGGGCGGGGGGCAAGTTGCTCTCAACTTCCAGGCCTGGTAGACCCCGTGGGCCCAGCACATCCGGTAGTGGGACCCGATGCACCCCTCCGCCGGCGTGGGGACCCGGCAGGTGGCATAGGAGCCGCCCAGCACCGCGCCGCCCAGCGTGAACTTCCCATCCGCCACAAGCACCGGGTTCACCAAGCCCTGGATGGTGGCCTGGTGCTGCACACGGCGGAGAGCACCCCCAAACTGAAACTGGGAGCGAGCCGACGGATGCCATAAGACCTAAACTCAAAGATGAAATTGAGTCATTCTGCCTGGCCAGCTCAATTCTGAAGCAGGTCTCTTCTTTTGTGCCAGTCTTGCATCATGAGAAAGGCAGGCGGCATGCGCACAACGAAGCAGCCACTTCCCCCCCCCCCCCCACCTGGACCACCGCTGCAGAGCCGCAGGTGCCAGTGGTGATGAGCTGCACCTGGTTGGTCTCGTTCAGGCCCACGCCCGAGGGCTCCACCACACAGGCCTCCAAAACGAAGCGCCAAATTCACGCAAAGGCGAACCGAGGCGATGACGCTTTCAAGAAATTCGGATAACGGAAATGGTGCATGTCCAAATGGGGACCAGGGCTGATTTCTCTCCAACTCTCCATCGAGATGTTTGCCAAGGCTGATTGTGCAAAGCTGTGCCTAGATAAAGGGAAGATTTCCCGCTGCTTGGGGTACGCTTCTGTTTGCATGGCGGCGGCTGGTGACAAAAGGAAAAAGGCTAGCATTCAGCCCACCCGCTACAACCAAATCAAAGCATGGTCTCAATTATGAAGGGGAGCGGGAGTCTAATTGTAAACTCCATTCTCGGACAACTCGCAGCGGATGAGAGCTGCTTTGCAGCATTGCAATCGACTGCCACTTCACCCTGGCCTGGCCCAGTGTGCAGGACACCGCCATGTTCTGAATCGGGCCGTTCATCACGAAGTCTCCCAGGGTCACCTTTCTCTGAATCAGAAACTCCGTTACACATGGAGCGTGCTGACCAGACAAACGACCCTCCAATGCCGCTGCCCGGTCTTGTCGCGCTCAAGACGAACTACAGCCAAACGGGTAGAATCTGAAGAAAAGAGATGCCCCAAAAGTCATGCGCTCCCGCACCCTTCTTGAGTGAACCAAAGCACCCGAAAGATTGCCACGCCGAACCCCACACCTTGTAGTCCGAGTACGCCCCGGGAGGGTCGAAGCTCCAGCAGATCTTGTAGCTCCCCGGCACCCCTGCGTAGCCGAGGCCCGCGTCGTAGCGGTCCCCGTCCGCGTAGACGTACCCAGGGTCCGCCGGGGCGATCAGCAGGTCCGTGCCCGCGGGGTTGTTGATGCCGCTCCTGGTCTGACATATTACCACCCCACCTCCTTTCTTAGAAGGCACCCGACTTGGACGTACATCAAAGGGGAGAAAGAAGCAAAACAGAACCGTGTTAAACACAGGCAAAAACAACGAAAAACGCTCGAAAGCAAAAGGACCCCACAAATCTCCAGGAGATCACCGTGGGGGAGGTGTCCCCGCAGTTGCTGCTGGTGGAGATGAAGAGCAGGCGGCTGGTGTGTGCCAAGCGCACGCCCTCCACCTGAGGGGAGAGGCAGAGCAACATTATGGCATGGTGCCACTACTGCCACCAATCAACATCAATATTTGAAGCATGGATTCCTGAGGAACAAATCTACGGGTTTCATGGTGGACACCACCATCAGCATAGTACAAGTCAACTCTTGCTCTAGAGCTTCCGTGGGGAAGATGCTTCAAGGCCCTTCGGGCCCTTCGTGTCTGCCACCGTTCCTTTGGTCGCCGAGAAAAGTCTCGGTCCGAGCTCCGAGCTCCGAGCTCCGAGCTCCGAGCGGCGCCTCGATCTTGCAGGGCTCGCTCAGGGTGCATTCGCTGCTCCTGGCCACGGGCCCGCCCATGCGCAGCGTCAGCACGGGCACGTGGAAGTCCCCGTCCGCCGAGGGGTCGAAGCCCCAGCAGACCTGATGGCCGAAACTGGGGAGGGGAGGGTTCTGCGATAGCACGGGGTTGAAAGGAAGCCAAAAAGCCATGGAGCAATCATTCCCTCCTGGATGGGAGAAGCCGAAAAGAAGAACAACTGAGGGAACCTTGACGCTTATCTTTGAACAAAAGCTTCAAGGAAACCAGTGTCGCACGTGACATTTGGATGGCTGCAAAAAGAACACCCATCTTGTTTGGGAGAGAATTAGCACCTCTCCCTTCGGAGAAGCACACATTTCCTGCCTTGTAGTCCCCCGGCATCCCGCCCGTGGGAGTGCCCAGCTCGAAGGTGTCGTAGGTGCCGTCTGCGGTGGCGTTGGTGGGATTCGACGCGCCCGCGAAGACCGCCAGGTTCAGGGCCGACTGCCCGCAGGTGTCGGACAGCGCGGTGACCACGATCTTGTTGGTGGCTGCGAGGTTCACCCCGGTCAAGGTGAGGCTACAGGGCAGGCCGAGGGTGCAGTAGACCAGAGATGTCTGCAGGTCAGGGCCGTCAATGGAGAAGGTGCCCAGCTGGATGTTCCAGTAGTCGTAGCTGGCGTTGTGGCCCCAACACGCAATGTAGCCACTGCCAGGGCCATCTGAGGTTGTGCGGGCGATGCCCAAATTGTACAGGGCCACGTTGCCACTGTCGGGGCTCACCGGGTTGGTCAAGCCATCGAAGACCGCCGTGGACGGCGTAGTGCTCCCGCAGGAGCCGGCTGCATCAATGATAAGGATCTGATTGAAGGCCGCCAAGCCCACACCTGTGAGTGTGATGCTGCACTGCGTGCCCATGATGCAATGCTGGGAGACTTGCACGGGGCCATTCAGCGTCAAGTATCCCACTGGGACCTTGTAGAATGCAGCCCCTGCCCCGTCAGCGGGGGCACTTGACCAGCAGAGCAGGTAGTCCGTTCTCGGCTGACCTGCCGAGGGTGTGCCAAGGTCATACGTGTTGTAGGGCATCTGCGCATCTACATTGATTGCATTCAGCATGCCTGTGACCGAGGCGAGCGTGGGCCCATTATCTCCACAGGACCCCGCAGACAGAACGATCATCTTGTTGCTGCTCTGCAGCTCAAGGCCGATCAGCTCCAGCACACATGAGAGCCCAAAGGTGCAAGACACATCTTGCACATTCGGACCGGTCACCGTGAAGTCGCCCAGGGTCAACGCGAAATCTGCCACGCTCGCAGGGCTCGCTGCCCAGCAGAGGGTGTAGCCACTCTGCGCTGTGCCGGTGTTGGGACTGCCCAGCTGGTACTCTGTGAAGGTGCCATCCTGAACCTGCTTCTCCACTTCCATGGGGCTGAAGGTGGCAGACGTGGCCCCAGCCCCACAGCTGCTGCCCACGTCCAAGACCAAAAGCTTGTTGGTGCTGGCGAACGCAATGCCCGTCAGCGCCAGCACGCAGTTCTCCCCCTTCACACAGCTGGAGCCCTGAATAAGATCCGGCCCTCCCAGCTCCAAGATGCCAACGTAGACATTGTAGTCCGACTCGCCGGCCGGCTGAAAGCCCCAACAAATCACGTAGTTGCTGTTCGCCGTTCCCTCAGTGGGCGTTCCAAAGCTAAAGGTGTCGTCACTGGCACCGCTGTCAGTTGCGGGATTGCCCCAGTCAGCGCCGGAGGCGTTGATCGTCCCCCAGCTACCACCGCAGGTTGCACCTTCCCCGAGCAGCACCAGGCCGTGGGCGCCCTGGTCAAAGCCGGAGCCAGTCAAGGTGAGCGTGCAGGGAAGGGTGAGGATACACTGATGGTCGCTCAGCACGGGCCCATGCATTGTAAACAATCCAGAGTCGATGGCGTAGTCGGAGTTCACCTTGCTTGGGGGCACTTGCGAAGGTGTGGCAGACCAGCAAAGGCGGTACCCACTCCCTGGCTGGTTGCTATGCGCGCTCAGCGCGCGCCCAAAGGAAAAGGTAGTGTAGGGCGAGGCCTGCGGCAGCGCAGGGTGGCTGAAGCTGGAACCCAAAGACGCCACCAGCTCGTCGACCAAAAACGCACAAACACTGCCTGTGTCCACAGCATAGCTTCCAAATGCAACTAACAAGCCATTGGCGTCAGTGAAGCCAGTGCCTTGCAGGGTAACATCACAAGTTTGGCCCAATGTGCACACATGCGACATCCCAGAGGTTGGGCCCTGCATTGTGAAGCTGCCCACGCGGAAGACGTAGTCATCCAATGTTGCGGGGTTGGCTGCCCAGCACAGCGAGTATGTTGCTGTGGTGTCGCCCATCGCCCCAGTCTTCATCTCGTAGTAATTGTCGTTTTCGTTGTCCCAAACAATCCTGGGGTTCTCAAAGCTCCCTGAGAAGTCGGCAGCAGCGTTGCCCGTGCCGCAGGTGGAGCCCGGCACAACCAGGGCCTTGTAGGCGGCCGAGGTGGCCGACTGGCTGTAGCCTGCAAGCGTCAACGAGCAATCCGCTCCCAGGGTGCAGGAAAAGTCCTGGCCGGAGGAAGGGCCCTTCACGGTGAAGACGCCAACCTGCGTGGGGTAGTCCGCCACGCTGGCCGAAGCACCCGACGCCCCGTAGCACAAAAGATAGTCCCCAGCCGTGCCCCCAGCGGCCGTGCCAAGGTCAAAGGTGGCCAAGGCGTCCGTGAAGGACGTGGCGTTGTGGGGGTTGCTGAGTCCATCCCAGGCCTCTGCGCTGCCGGCGCCACAGGAGCTGCTCGAGGCATCCAGGGCCATAACGGAGGAGTCATAGCCCAAGCCGCTGCCTGAAACGTCGAAGCTGCAAGCAGCAGTCAGGGTGCACTGTGGGTTAAAATACCCCGAGGTGCAGTACGCAGCGCTCAGAGGATCTGGTCGAAAGCTGCCTTTGAGGCAGCAATAAAAGCTCATTCCTGAATAGCCATTGTCATTGTTCCCCTCAATGATGTACTGCCAGGACAGACATTGTGGCCAATACTGACCACACAAATCGCAGCAGGCTGCCGCATTGCCGACCTCTTGGCAGCCCTCAGCCACAGAGTTCACATCCAGAGTAATGGCCAGATTTGTCCCCTGGTAGCACACTCCCGTCTCACTCAGGCAATCTGTGCCAGCTGCAAATGACAGAAGGGCAGCAAAGCAGGCGCTTAGCACCCAGCCACTCATGGCGGCATGCTGCGGCAGCAGAAATGCATGTTTGCCAAAGTGTG